TTTCTCTCGTTGTTTTTGTTCCTCTCTCTCTCGGGGCACAAGGGGCATTGGAGGCGCCCCGATCATTGGCTCATCCCCGATGTCGGGATCGTTGGAAGGGCATGAAGGCGCAGCCCACTTTCCGGGAAGCCACATAAAGGTACGTTATGCTGAAAAGATTCCCGACGTTTACTGCATCTGCTCATGTGACAGAATGGAAAAGCAGCGAAGACGACCGAGGCTAAACCAAGACATAAAGGGCCAAGACCAAGTCGTCATGCTCCCGTCATCCTTTGGCAAGCCCTATGCCTCCCCTGTCCAGACCCGTGAAGTTACACCAACAGCTCGGTGGCGAGGAAAGGTCAAAACAAGGAATGCAAAGCCTCTATTTCATCCTTCGGGTCAAAGGGGCATGTTACGCCGCCCGGCCCATAGGGCCCCCTCATCGTGTATGGGGCTTTCGGGGGAAGTCTGCACACGGACCCGGTAGGGATCCCATGTACCAACCGTGGTGCAGCACGACACGATCTCTCTCTTTCTCTCTCTTTCTCTATCTCTATGTCTGTGTGTATCGATCTATCTGCCCATCTGACTGCTCATCTATCTGCCAATCTGTGCATCCACCTGCCTACCCACCTACCCACCTACCCACCGACCCACCGACCTGCCGACCTGCCGACCTACCGACCTAGCCTGTCCATCTATCTACCTGATTACCCTCGCACCTATTGTTGTTTGATGCAGATGATTGTTGCTTGCGTGTGTGTGTGTGTGTACATATATATATATATGTACGTTACACGTCTGTCTTTATATGTGCTTGTGCATGCACCGCTTGCTGTTGCAGGCCCTGTCTTTCTGAATGTCTCCTGGCTTCTCACCATAAGCGCAGACACTCGCATAATCTGCATGCCATCTACTGAGTGATCGTCAATCTCTGCAGCTCATGTAACTCTGGCATGAAAGATCAGCAGATTGGATATCGAAGCAAGCTTGATCGGATTCCATCCAGTAGTACTCAAGACCACAAGTTTCCACGGTGGTTGGCGCGGCACACTGAGGAAGCATAGAGTTGACATTGTGGCAACAGCTCAGAAGCTTTCATCTTTTGAGCCGCAGAAACTGCAGGCTTTAGACAAGATTTAGCACCAGAAGCGCGGCAGAAGAGCCCGCTATCCTGCAGTGGAATGCTCACTGCCGCAACACCCTTGAACCTAAATCGCTAGAGCTCTTGTTCCCAAATCCTGCCATTACTCGGGCCCGAGTCCGAAACCTTGGTGAAGTGCTAAGCACTACAGCCTCACCTCCATGCCAAATTCGGCTCAACTCCACTGAGATGAAACATGGAATCCATGACGGCGCTCTTCGCAACCTCTTAAGTATCGCATTTCATTGAACTATAAGATCGTTACTCAATAATATACGTAAGACTCTAAGTAAGCCCGATAGAACCAAAGCCAGGCCAAGGCCGCCTTTGCGGACTTGCCGATCTGCCGCCTGTGGCGTTCTGGCCTCCGTTTGTACTCAAAAGGCTTTCAGCAAACCCTCAGTAGGTACAGGCCTGACGACATGACCCGGTCAAACTGAGAAGCTCTGCAAGTCTGCGGACTTCGGCGCAATGCTTTGGCTGAGGTCTGAGGGGGCCTCTCGCACCAACTCGCTGTGACCTCTATCTCTGCCCTCAGAAACTCCAGAAGCGCACCTCGAGCATTCTGCCTCAGTGCCGGCGCGGACCTCAGACTGTCAGACTGGGCGGGCTTGGGCTTCAACGCAGAACTGGCCGACCCACAATATTCCGGTTGAAGACCCGACGATTTGGCAACTTGCTCGTGGAAGGCCCACACCGAACAGTACGACAACTTAGAACCTACTACAGGGGCCCAACAGACAAGAAACATGCTTGAAGGAGCGGAGGAGAATTCGAAACACGGTTCCTAACGCCTACGATGCTCGAGTAATTGTGCACTAGCACGTACCCGTGCATGAGCCTCAAGAGAACCTACTGGCGGTTGCGAAAGAGAAACTATGACGGCTGGCATCAATTTTCAGCCGTGCTGTATGACAGCGACTGCTAATGGTTACTGGCTCTATGTTTCCTAAGTGCTGGCCTTATGGCTCCGTAATACGAGTTATTGCCAGCAGCATTGCCTGTATGATTGAGTCGTGGTAGCCCTGCTGCGCTCAACCAGTCCGCTAAGCGAACAAAACCGTCAAGTCACGGGCGTGAAGGGCTCATAGTAGCCAAGGCCAGCCATTACAGGGAGCTGTAGTTGGCAAACAGGACACCAGCGAGAGGGGGCAACCTTTTTTGGGGCAAGGTTGGCCTGTCAGTACGGCACATCGGCACCAGGAAGCACGTGAACAGTACCCGTGGCCCAATTCAACTACTAGGTTCTTCGAGGTGCGCGGAACCCACAGCTGATGTCGAGCTTGACGCATCGTGACCTGCAGAGCAGCTACAACTGAATGGCTTCAGTGTGCGGTCCTGCAGCCCATGCACACTAGTCACTGGATGCTCAGAGTGCTGCTTCTTGGATTCTCGTTTATGTAAAGCTAATTCAGCATTGCATCAAACTGGCTCATGTGGGGCGGGTATGAAGACAAGAACCTCAAGTTAGCTCGGTGTGATGCGGACCCAGATGGAAGTGGAGACACCATGTGACTATCTGCTTCACTGCCATTCCAAGCATACATTTGCAGTCCCCAAACTGGCGACGGTGATGTCAAATGTTGGGTGCTTCTTGCTCCTTGCCCAAATCCGGTGAAAGAGAGGCAGAGGAAGGAGAGAAAGAGAGCGAGATGTGTGTACATGAGTATAGGTATGTATGTACGTATGTATGCATGTAGTGTGCGTATGATATGTATGATGTGATGTGCGTCTGCGATATGTATGTAATGTATGGTATGTACATATGAAAGTATGCATGTATGTATGTAGGTAGGTAGGTAGGTAGGTATGAATGAATGAATGAATGAATGAATGAATGAATGAATGAAAGCCTGAGCTGCATGACATGGAAGTGCGTATGTATGTAATATGCAAGTGTGTGTGGTGTGTATGTCAGATATGGTATGTTATGCATGTCTGTCTGTCTGTCTGTCTGTATGGTATGTGTGATATGTATGTATGCAATTTATGATAGGTATGTAAGTATGTAACGCATGTATGCATGCATACATGTATGCATGTATGTACGTATGTATGCCATGTAAGCTCTGTGCAGACGTGCGAACCTGTCTGTATGTCTGTGCGTATGTGTATATGCATGTATGCTTGTGTGTGTACTGTATGTGTGTCGGTGTGTGTGTATGTGGATATGCATGCATACGTACATATATGCACATGCAGCATGCACATGTACACAGCTCTGCATGCTACCTGCAAGCTGAGTTAGCCATGGACCGCCTCGACCGCCGGCATCCCCCTGCGTTCCCAAAGCGAGTGGTGGACCACCTGTGGAACAGAGGCCCTCTAGTCAGTTACAACTCCAGCCAGCCAGCCACACATTCATACACGTGTACATACACGTAGGCACATGCTTATGTCATATATCTACACACATATGTATATGTATATATACATAAAATATACAGTACAACATAAAAGTCTGTAAACACATGCAATATACAGTAAAATGAGTAAGTTCCATGCAAACATGACATAACTTAACACAGCATAAACAGACGTAAGAATAAGATAAGACAATGCAACATGAGACAAGCAAAAGCAAAGAGATAAAACATGACATGGTACGACATGGTAAATTACAACATAGTTATCCTACAGTACAATATGCTATACTGTACGTTAAACACATTACTACCATATAGGCAATACCATCGAAAAAACAAAGCAAGACAAATAATACATGAAAACATGGTGCAATTTTCGTTAGTAAAAGCAACTGCAGTTTTCCGACATGATAGTGTAATACGATGCCTTACCATAACATGTAACGACATTTTCATGTAATGTGGTACCACAAAGTATAACATTGATGTATGCGTATAAATATTACATAACATAGTATCATATAATGATATAGGGGACAACATATGGAAGACGCCATAATGTGCTAAAACATACTATGGTATACTATAGTACACTATATAGTGTACTATACCTCAACATCGTGCAATGTGGTTTGACAAAAATATTTTGTAGCGTAATATAGCACAAAATCATGTAGAGTTGATACTGCAATGTGTGATAAGACATCATCATACCTTATAAGTGCAGACAAAAAGGTTATAATCTCATTGTCTACACCGTTTTCTAACATGACATCGTCTAAAGTATAATACATCAAAATAGAAAAGATAGATTAACATGGCATTGTTTCATCATACAGTTGTTTGCAATACGCCACAATACAGTACAATGTAATGTAGCATCATGCGACATATTATAACACAAAATATGATGAATGGCGCAAAAGCCTCCAGAACCTATAGTTTAGTATAGTACCATATTATCACAGGTAGTATAGTACAAGATGACAAACTATGTCATGAAACACAACCAAAAGTAACATGGTACAACATATATGAACATATAATGTGTTATATTTTATGTTGCGATGTGATATGCTATAGTCTAGCATAATATAGCGAGATTGAAAAGAAAAACATAAAATAACATAGTACAAAGTGCTACAACAACATAAGAGATCGTAGAATGTAAATATGACCATACAGCATACTGTAGTCTAATATCGTACACTAACGCTCATACAATATTACACTACCGTAGAATGTAAATCCAGGATAACAGAGTATATTATTATACAGAATGCGACTATATATAGTGTAATATATTAGAATATAAAATAGTGCAATATTGTAGACTTTCAGTAAATATCGCGCAATGTAGCATGATATGGTATAATGACATGCTCTGTGTTCCTGTCCCGCAGCAAGCGGCGGAGCAGGGGGCCAGGCGCGCAAACACTGCAACACAACATCACCCCAGTTCCCGCAGCTTCACTGCCGATCGAACACCACACAGAACTGCCCCGCACCTCCGAGTTTACCTTGGTGCATTTCGAGAATGCTCCCAGATTCCGTCCTTCGACGAGTCGAGTGCCTTGGGCGGTTAAGGCTTTGCGAACTGTAGGGCGAGCTCGAAAAGCAAACAATCTCTCAGCTCAGCATTGCTCAAGAACCGTCTCCGGAGTGCCGAGATGCTTCTCGGCTGAAGATTTCAGCTCTGCCTTGACTGCTGGCGCCTGCAGGGCCAAGCCCGCGAAAAATCGGCAAGTTACATCGCCTGCATTATGAACAGGCCAGATGAAAATTCGTCACTATCATCGTCACGTGATTGTTTTTCACATAGGGGGTTCCTCTTCAAGCATAGTTCTAGACGACGATGATGATGATGATGATGTTGACTATGACCGTTGTACTAACTCTAAAACCATACAACATACGATCATACGATCTGCAAGTTGTATTCTTCTGCGTTGCTGTAGCTCAATCCCAAAAGGCAGCACCAATGCCAATTCTCAACAACGCTAAGTCTGCTGATTCCGAAGAGCCCGCAGCAGCAGCTGGCCACGCACATCTTGTGGTCCACCCTGAAAGCAACCAAAGTTGACGTAGAGTTCTGAAACAGGCCAACAGGGGTTACGTCGGATTGTGGGCCTTGTAATGTCCAGAAGCCGTTAGTAGAATTGCACTCTCCCAAATCTGATACAATAGATGGTGTGCTAGGGCTGCTAGTGCCACGGCATTGAGGCCTGCTCATGGTGTGACCACTGGAGCCTCTTCGAGGGTTTTTAACATTGACGGGACCTCTCTAAAGACATCACATCTGACTAAACGCCTCGGCTGTCTAGTAAAACTTCTTCGGCCGTCGATGGGGCTTCAACTCTGTCATAATGGAAAACTAGGACTCAGGAATGCGTTCCATAGCGTAGTTGCCTTGGAAGGGTCTGATCAGTACTTGCCCACTTCTGAAGCAGCCCGTCTACGGACTTCAACACTCAACAAATTCTCAAGAAATTTGGGCAGCTGGCACTGGCAGCCATGCGTTTCTAAAGACCTCAGGAAAACACATGCAACCGAAGCGAACTTACGAACAAAAACTCCCCATGACTATCTTTCGCGATGTCCAGCTGAGGCACGGCTCTCCTGCTGCCCTGCACAGGCATGGGCTTGGAAAACATCAGTCTACACGTTGATTTGTTGGGTTGTTCTACAGCTTCCATGCGCACCGCAAGAAAGTCGGCTCAATAATTACCTGCGACATGCACCCCACAACGTAGTCAAGACTCGCAGAGCCATGAATTCCCGAGTTCGAAGCCTGCTTGGAACTTGGAACAGCAGAAGACCTACATTTAAACCGCAGACGCTCATGCACTCATTCCCGCCCATCTTTCCGGCTTGAGATTGCAAACAACGCAAACCCACACCCACACCCGCGCGCCCGCACGAACGGTGGCTTACAAGGGTTTCAGATTGTGAGGCCTCTGGCAGCATTTTGTGTAGCGCGATGTTCGTCGAGAAGCGGAGACAATTGCCCAGGGGCATCAAAAAGGGCAATGGCGCATCCTGCTCACGGATGAGGCTGTGGGCTTCAGAGTTCTGGAGCTCCGGGCCCAAGTTCGGATGTAGATCTCTAGGGGCTTGTAAATCAAGATTCTCTGCTGGAGATAGTACTACCATTGCCATTAGCCTAACTATTACCTCTCGTCTTCTTCCTGCTATTACGGCAACATCGACAACGACCATATCACTAGCGGCTGCTGCTGCTGCTCCTGCTTCTGCCTCTGTGTTTTCCCTGCTTACTGATATTAAGAACTTAGAGTTCATATTCGCATAGCATTAGTGCTAGCATCAGTTTTGGTGTTAGTGGTGGTAGTAGTGGCAATAATGCTTTTGCTTCTACTGCTCCTCCTCCTCCTCCTCCTACTACTACTACTACTACTAATGCTACTGCTTCTGCTATAACTACAACTACAACTACAACAACAATAATAACAACAGCAACAACAACAAAAACAACAACAACAACAACAACAATTACTACTACTACTACTACTACTACTGCTACTACCACTAGTACTAGTAGTAGTAGTAGTAGTACTACTACTACTACTACTAC